CACATCTCCCACTGAGCACCTTCCCAGGTACTGCCCCGCACCCCGACAGGAGGAGAGACCCCAAAAAGATTGGCCACAACAGTCCCTATTCTCCCTGCTGCTTCTCTTCCCAGCTCCAGCATTTTCCTTCCTTTCTGTGGCAACAGAAGGGGTATGGTGGGGCCAGGGAGCATCCCCACTTCAGTTTTTTGGGAGGTAACCCTCCAGCCCAGTGCCAGGAAGCCAAGCATCCCTTCTCCCTGCCCACAGGAATTGAGAAGTTCAAAGGCCGCTATCTCCACAGCCGAGACTACAAGGACTCTCGGGATTTCACAGACAAGAGGGTCATTGTTGTCGGGATCGGGAATTCGGGGTCTGACCTGGCTGTGGAGATCAGCCAAGCAGCCAAGCAGGTGAGCAACACAAGTGGGGTCCCAGTGGGCAGGGCAGCCTCCCATGGAACGCTAGCAGCTCCACAAGGACACCAGGACCAAGGTGCTGGCAATCCCACCAATCCCAGCCACCAGGTAGTAGTGGTGGCAGCCAAGACTTGATCCCATATACGGATACCTCAGTTTCTAGCCCTGAGCCCTGGGCTCTTCCCTAGCACTCCTTGCTAGGAACTGACGACCAGCTCTCCTTGCCCTCTGGGTCTTCACCCAGTGCTGGGGCAGAATGAAGAGCAGCGATCCTGGGGCAAGGACATGTACCTGCCCCCGGGCAGCCCCCCAGGACTCTCACAGCCTGCAGGCAGCAATACTTACTTTCTTGCCCAGGTCTTCCTCAGTACCCGCCGAGGCGCATGGATCTTCAACCGTGTCGGAGATCATGGCTACCCCCTCGATATTGTCTTCACCACCCGCATGAAAACATTCCTGAAGGACCTGCTGAGCGTGTCCATGGTGAACGACTTTGTGGAGAAGCAGCTGAATGCCAGGTTCAACCACTCGCACTACGGCCTGAAGCCAAAGCACAGGTGCCAGCAAATGCTCCCCCTACTCAGGAGGGACCCTTTACCTCCCCGAGTGGCCAGCCCTGCTCAGCCATTCCTGTGCTCCCTGTGCCTGGGCTGGGGTCAAGGCACCAGCCCTGGAAACTCCGTTAATAGCTGTGTTGTGCCCACGCAATGCGTGAGAGAGTCACCACTGCCCGTTCCAGGGTCTCTTGGTGGTACCATTGCAGTGGCAGCTGTCGAGCACCCTTGGGGGAGCAGCCTCACTGGCGATGAGCATCCCTTGGGATGAGCATCCCCAGAGCAGGGAGCAGCGGCTGGAGCAGGATGTGGAGCAGAGACACCTCAGCACAGAACCCTGATGGCTCCTTGTACCTTCCAGGGTCTTTGACCAACATCCGACCGTCAATGACGACCTGCCCAACCGCATCATTTCGGGCAGGGTGCGGGTGAAGCCGAACATCCAGGAGTTCACGGAGACATCGGCCATCTTCGAGGACGGCACCAGGGAAGACATTGACGCCGTGGTCTTTGCCACAGGATACCGCTTCTCCTTT